AATTTTCATGTTTTGCGATTTTTCAAAAAAATTTTATTTTGCGATTTTTAAAAAAATTTTCATATTTTGCGATTTTTCAAAAAAAAATTTTTTTGCAATTATTCAAAAATTGTTCATATTTTGCGATTTTTCAAAAAAATTTCATGTTTTGCGATTTTTCAAAAAAATTTTTAATTTTTTGCGATTTTTCAAAAAATGTTCATTTTTTGCGATTTTTCAAAAATTGTTCATATTTTGCGATTTTTAAAAAAAAATTCTTTTGTGATTTTTTGCGATTTTTCAAAAAAAATTCATATTTTGCGATTTTTCAAAAAAATTTTATATTTTGCGATTTTTCAAAAAAAATTCAGTTTTTGTGATTTTTCAAAAAAAATTTATATTTTGCGATTTTTCAAAAAAATTTCATTTTTTGATTTTAAAATTTTTTTCATATTTTGCAATTTTTCAAAAATTTTTCATTTTTTGTAATTTTGCGATTTTTCAAAAAATTTACATTTTTTGCGATTTTTCAAAAAATTTTCATATTTTGCGATTTTTCAAAAAATTTTCATATTTTGCAATTTTTTTAAAAAATTTCATTTTTTGCAATTTCTCAAAAAATTTTCATATTTTGCGATTTTTCAAAAAATTTTCATATTTTGCGATTTTTCAAAAAATTTTAATTTTTTGCGATTTTTCAAAAAATTTCATATTTTGCGATTTTTCAAAATGTTTTCATGTTTTGCGATCTTTAAAAAAATGTTCATGTTTTGCGATTTTTCAAAAAATTTTAAGTTTTTGCGAATTTTCCAAAAATTTCATATTTTGCGATTTTTCAAAAAAAATTTCATGTTTTGCGATTTTTCTAAAAAGAATAAATTTTTGTGATTTTTCAAAAAAATTTCATGTTTTGTGATTTTTCAAAAAAATTATATTTTGCGATTTTTCAAAAATTTTTCATATTTTGCGATTTTTCAAAAAATTTTCATTTTTGTTTTTTCAAAAAATTTTCATTTTTTGCGATTTTTCAAAAAATTTTCATATGTGATTTTTCAAAAAATTTCCATTTTTTGCGATTTTTCAAAAAATTTTATATTTTGCGATTTTTCAAAAAATTTTATTTTTTGCCATTTTTCAAAAATTGTTCATATTTAGCGATTTTTCAAAAATTTTTCTTTTGTGATTTTTTGCGATTTTTCAAAAAAATTCATATTTTGCGATTTTTCAAAAAATTTTCATTTTTTGTTTTTTCAAAAAAATTTCATTTTTTGTGTTTTTTCAAAAAATTTTCATTTTTTGCGATTTTTCAAAAAATTTTCATATGTGATTTTTCAAAAAATTTCCATTTTTTGCGATTTTTCAAAAAATTTTATATTTTGCGATTTTTCAAAAAATTTTATTTTTTGCCATTTTTCAAAAATTGTTCATATTTAGCGATTTTTCAAAAATTTTTCTTTTGTGATGTTTTGCGATTTTTCAAAAAAATTTCATATTTTGCGATTTTTCAAAAAATTTTCATTTTTTGTTTTTTCAAAAAAATTTCATTTTTTGTGTTTTTTCAAAAAATTTTCATTTTTTGCGATTTTTCAAAAAATTTTCATATGTGATTTTTCAAAAAATTTCCATTTTTTGCGATTTTTCAAAAAATTTTATATTTTGCGATTTTTCAAAAAAAATTCATTTTTTGCCATTTTTCAAAAATTGTTCATATTTTGTGATTTTTCAAAAAAATTTCATTTTTTGTAATTTTTAGCGATTTTTCAAAAAATTGTCATGTTTTGCGATTTTTAAAAAAAAAATTTTATTTTGCGATTTTTCAAAAAAAAATTCAGTTTTTGTGATTTTTCAAAAAAAAATTATATTTTGCGATTTTTCAAAAAAATTTCATTTTTTGTGATTTTAAAATTTTTTTCATATTTTGCAATTTTTCAAAAATTTTTCATTTTTTGTGATGTTGCGATTTTTCAAAAAATTTACATTTTTTGCGATTTTTCAAAAAATTTTCATATTTTGCGATTTTTCAAAAAATTTTCATATTTTGCAATTTTTTAAAAAAATTTCATTTTTTGCAATTTTTCAAAAATTGTTCATATTTTGCGATTTTTCAAAAAATTTTCATATTTTGCGATTTTTCAAAAAAATTTCATATTTTGCGATTTTTCAAAAAAAATTCATTTTTTGTGATTTTTTGCGATTTTTCAAAAAAATTTCATGTTTTGCGATTTTTAAAAAAAAAATTCATATTTTGCGATTTTTCAAAAAAATTCATTTTTTGTGATTTTTTTTAATTTTTTAAAAAATTTTCATATTTTGGGATTTTTCAAAAAATTTTCATGTTTTGCGATTTTTCAAAAAATTTTCCATATTTTGCAATTTTTCAAAAAAATTTCATATTTTGCGATTTTTCAAAAAATTTTCATTTTTTGTGATTTTTCAAAAAATTTTCATGTTTTGTGATTTTTCAAAAAAATTTCATATTTTGCGATTTTTCAAAAAAATTCATTTTTTGTGATTTTTTGCGATTTTTCAAAAAAATTATATTTTGCGATTTTTCAAAAAAATTTCATTTTTTGTGATTTTAAAATTTTTTTCATATTTTGCAATTTTTCAAAAATTTTTCATTTTTTGTGATTTTGCGATTTTTCAAAAAATTATCATTTTTTGTGATTTTTCAAAAAAATTTTATGTTTTGTGATTTTTCAAAAAAATTTCATATTTTGCGATTTTTCAAATAAATTCATTTTTTGTGATTTTTTGCGATTTTTCAAAAAAAATTTATATTTTGCGATTTTTCAAAAAATTTTCATTTTTTGTGATTTTAAAAAATTTTTCATATTTTGCAATTTTTCAAAAATTTTTCATTTTTTGTGATTTTGCGATTTTTCAAAAAATTTACATTTTTTGTGATTTTTCAAAAAAATTTCATGTTTTGCGATTTTTCAAAAAATTATATATTTTGCGATTTTTCAAAAAATGTTCATATTTTGCGATTTTTCAAAAAATTTTCATTTTTTGCAATTTTTCAAAAATTGTTCATATTTTGCGATTTTTCAAAAAATTTTCATATTTTGTGATTTTTCAAAAAATTTTCATTTTTTGCGATTTTTCAAAAAATTTTCATATTTTGCGATTTTTCAAAAAATTTTCATATTTTGTGATTTTTCAAAAAATTTGCATTTTTTGCGATTTTTCAAAAATTTTTCATATTTTGCGATTTTTCAAAAAAATTCATTTTTGTGATTTTTTTGCGATTTTGTAAAAAAATTTCATTTTTTGCGATTTTTCAAAAAATGTTCATTTTTTGCGATTTTTCAAAAAATTTTCTTTTTTGCGATTTTTAAAAAATTTTTCTTTTTTGTGATTTTTTTGCGATTTTTAAAAAAAAAATTATTTTTTGTTATTTTTAAAAAAAATTCATTTTTTGTGAATTTTCAAAAATTTTATTTTTTTTGAATTGTTTATTATTTTTTATTTTTTGTGATTTTTTGTGCTTTTTCAAGATTTTATAATTTTTCATGATTTTTCTTGATCTTTCAAGATTTTTTCATTTTTCGTTATTTTTCGATTTCTCGAGATTTTTCGTGACACTGAAGCGGTTCCAGCAGTACATTCTCAGCAAAGAGATAGGCTTTATTTTATTTTTAAAATACTTTATTAAAAATATATATCATGCTGGCAACATTTCATGCAAACTACAACTTGTAACTCACAGAAACCCCCAAAGGACAGGCCTCTTCCTGCAGTGGCGGCCAGCTCCAGCTCATCGGGTTCTAGAGGTGACGGTGGATGCGCAGATGATGCGCTACTTGTGAAAAACCCTCAATGCTTTTGAAGCACAAGGTGCACAGCAAATTCATTGGTGTTCAATTTTTAAGTGTTGTGGTAATTCAGAGTGAAGTGTTAAAATTCTAGCGTTATATAAAGTGTCATACACTAAAGCTCCAGCAGATCTTTATGACACACAGACATCAAGAATCAGGATATGAACCTCAACCATGGTTGCTAAAAAGAAAAAAAAGCTGCATATTTCATGCTGGGTGCCAGCATAGTACAAAGCTCCCAGCATGCATTGCATCATAAATAAATTATGCAGCTTTATGTTGTTACAATCTCTTTCTTTTTATTTATTTTGTGTTGTGTTTGGGAGGTAATATTTCAGTAGTTTTTTTAATTGATTTTTATTTTTTTTGTTTGTCACCATTATTGAGATTCAAAGACTAATTGTTGATGTCTGTGTGTTTTTAAGTGCTGCCATAGATCAAACATTCACATTGTAAATCATGCTTTTAAAGTCATTAATTGTTAAAGCTTCAGTGGTTTCATTTATGTATTTTATTTATTTGACACACATAACTAATGTGACACTGAATTAGAAAACAAGCAGGAGAAGATGGCTTTGATATCAAAGTTAATCTCTTCAGACTGACTCTGACATTTTCTTTTGAAATTTCATGCTACATGTAAGAATAGTGTGATTAGCACTAATAATTATAGCATCCAAATAAAAAAAAAAAAAACATTTTATAGCAAGAAGTTGAAGAGCCCTACTAAAGCAGACTCTGTCCTCCATCATGGTGACTTCAAATGAACAACAGAAATTTCATAAAGAGCTTTTGTTCACATGACAGAATTAAAGCCAAAGCTCAGTAATAAGTGAAGCTCCATGATGAGTTGTTTAATGTGATGAGTTGTTTTAAAGATGTTGAAAATAAAAATAAATTTTATTGTGTAATTTGTTTATTTTTTTTTTATTCATTATTATTTTATTTAAAGTTTTATTCTCAGTTGATTTCATCTTTGGTTTTGGCTACTGCTGCCAGTATTTTGATATACATTTTTCATATATTTTACACAATAAGAGTTTGCTAATTAACACTCTCTGAGTGGTAATTTTTTTAACACTTTCAAAAGTGTTATTTTAACACTTTTTATAGTGGTTCCCATATAAACACTGAGGGAGTGTTAATTTGAACTCTAAGGTAGTTAAATCTACAATCTAAAATTTGCAGTGTGTATAACCCTTTATTATTGTCTTTAATTGTTTATGTACCATAGCATAATCAATGAAACACAACATCAAAACACTGTGCTGATGAGATTGTCTTCTTGCTGCTTTGACACTGACTTTTGCCTATCTTGTGTTTTTTTTTGTCCTTCTTTAGCAGTTGAGGACAAAGGCGGTCTGCCGAAGAAACCACTCAGCTCCTCTGAAAGACAAGGTATATCACATAATAAATGTCACTTATTAACATTTATTCATACTGTTGCAGCATGAACTACAGTTGAGGGCCCTCCTGTGAAATATTTATTCAAGCTAATGGAGCAAGGACATTTTCACAGTACTTACGATAGTATATTATCTTCTGAAGAAAGTTTTATTTGTTTTATTATTTATGTTTTTTTATTGGCTACAGAACAAACAGTGTTAAGCTAGTTAAGCCTTTACTTTCTCAATCTAAATATGGTAGCACATCAGAATAATAGTCCTTTAGTTAATCAATTTACTAACACTAAGTGTCACCAATCTTGTGCCGCATTTTTTAATTACAGTTCAACATTAATGCATTATTAAAATCCAAAGTTGTGCTTGTTGACATTACTTAATGCACAGTGCATTAATGAACTAATGTTATTTAACTTAAACATTAAATCGTTAACAAAGATGAATGAATACTGTAATTAATGTATTAAACTTCTAAGTCATGTCAGTAAATGCATTAACTAATATTAACTAATGGACTATTACTCTAAAGTGTTACCTTAAAGGGTGACACTTTACAATAAGTTTGTATTAGTTAATGTCAAAGCATTTACTACCATAAACAAGCAATGAACAATATACTAAATACAGTATTTGTTCGTGTTACAGTCATCCATGCCAACTCACAGTCCATCAACTAAGCATTAAATATTATTTTAATAAAGCATTAGTACATGTTGAACTATGATTAAAAATGTTGTACAAGCATTGTTCATAATTAGTTCATGTTAATAAATACATTATCTAATGAAACCTTATTGTAAAGTGTGACCCAATATTATATACTGTCATCATGGTAAAGATAAATTATGAGAAATTAGTTATTAGAACTATTATGTTTAGAAATGTGCCTGAACAAGTCCTCTCTCCATTACACATAAATTGTGAAAAATAAACTCAAATTTAACAGGGGGGCTTATAATTACGGCTTCAACTGTATGCAATAATAAATAAAAGTCGTCACACTAAGACACTGTGTTCTGATAATCACAACTGTGCTCATTTAGGAGCTGGGGAAGCAAAGAGAAGAAAACGTTCCTGTGAAGATCTTTCACAGAAGCCCCACTCAGACTCTCCACTGTCTGCTGTAAGTTCATCGTTTGTACATCACAATTAGGTGGTGTATATACTCCTGAATACAGTTTTGTGAGCATAGATGGGGAGACTGTGCAAAAAGTATGAATATGTCAATGAAAAAGGTTTTACCTATTATACTTACTTTGTTGAAGGCTCCTGCATCGACTTCTTTATTGGAGGCTCCTGCGTCAGCCTCATCAGTTCCTGGCCAGTCTTCTTCATCGGCTCCTGCATCAGCCTCATCAGTTCCTGGCCAGTCTTCTTTATCGGCTCCTGCATCAGCCTCATCAGTTCCTGCCTTGGGTTCTTCATCAGCTCCTGTATCAGCCTCATCAGTTCCTGCCTTGGCTTCTTCATCGGCTCCTGTTTCAGCCTCATCAGTTCCTGCCTTGTCTTCTTCATCAGGTCCTGTATCAGCCTCATCAGTTCCTGCCTTGGCTTCTTCTGACGTTCAACCTAGAAGGTCATCTGGTGGGTCAACACACAGTGACCCAGCACATTCTGAGGTAACTGTCAAAGTACTCTGTGGATGTTAAGATAAGAAAAATTTATACTTTAATACTAAAAAAATCAACTTTAATTGATTTTAATACCGTTTTGTCTCGGTTATTCTAATTACCAGGTGTCATTTAAGGGTTGGCACAAGATGTGGGAGTCTGGACATACTGTGGCTGAAGGAGAATGCTAAAAGGGGACTCTTTCAGAGGGCCATGTCTTATAAAGACAAATATGGAAACAGAAAGTGGAGGAAAGTCCTGAAGGATGACCGGATGTGGATTCACCCTCCAGAATTTCCTGGAGTGGTGGAAGGAAAAGTCCCCTCAGCTTTTTTCGCAGCTCCGTTTTTTTCTGGAGACCAGTCGGTGTGTGGCGTTACAGTCTTCGGTGCCCAAGGTCTGACTGCCCAGCACGCACCAATCAGAAGGCTTTTCTCCACCGTTGTGGCTATTCATCCACGGTAAGACAGATCTGCCACATGTCTGGCTGGTACTCCATGCTGACTGAGGTCCTAGCATGCGACGCCTGTAGAAAGGCTGCAAAGGAGTCGGAAGAGCATACTTTTGGTCGTTTCCTGTTATGGGATCAGTGCATCCTTAACCAGCTCAGTCCAGCTCACAGAGCGGTGTTTCCTGCTGTCTTGACGCTACGGTGAGTCTCTAGCATAATACAAATCATTGTGAAATTATGCAGAGTCTTAAAAAAAGTTAAGATTCACCATCATCTAATGATTGTGTTGCTCCTATGATTCTAGGCGTGGGGTGGACAAGCAGGTGATCCGTCTGATGAGGGATCGCACTGAGGGAAACACCATGGTGAAGGTTTGGAGACAGGTGCAGGAGAGCCACTGCGGGGACTATCTGCAGAGAAAGGACTTGTACACCACTCTTCTCAGCCAGTACAACAAACCTGGGAAGATCATCAGCGCCTTGAACAAGCTTGACCTCGATGACCGCAGCATCCAACAATTCGACAGCCTCTACTCTGCACGCTGGGGCAATGCTCTGTTTGGCCGCACCAGTGGAGATCCGACTGAGGCGTCCCTGGTGCAGAAGTTCAAGTTCAGCAAGCGGTACTCAGCCGCACACTTGGTGGACTCCAGAAAGGACCGGCTGATGTACTGCCTGGTCAAACAGCTGTGGCTTCATCCTGGTGTTGGAGGAAAAGCTAAAGGGTCACCGCTGAAACAGCAGATCACTAAACTGTACCAGCGTGTGCAGCAGAGAGTGACGGTGGACGATGATCAGCTCAGCAAACTTGGGATTCCCATCCTGAAAATAAATTCAAAGTGCGTGAGCGAGTTCATCAGGAGGCAGGAGGCGCTGTCAGCCACAAATGTCATCGACCAGGGTCTGTCTGTCCTCCGTCGTCACCAGAGCGTCTCCAGCACCAGCCAGCCCCCCGCTGAGGAGCTTCCAGAGGAAAGACCCCATACCAGCCGGCCTCCAGTGCAATATCCTATCACCACTTCTCTGGCCGGCACCCGAAAGTTGAAGCAAAGGCTCCCGCAAATCTTACCTGTCCCTCCCTTTGCTCTTGCTCAACCAGTTCCTGCGCCGGCCCATTCAATGCCCGCAGGACTCCGGCACACACACACTCCGCTGACTGCACCTCCCGCTGTTTCCTTGCCGCAGGCATCCACTCCGCCACTGTTGCCCTCAAGATCAACAGTCTAAAAGAGGAAAAAGGCAGAACTCAGTGGCTCTGGACATCCAACCTCAGTGAAGGTTTACATCTGTGCTCTGTGTGGCCAACCAACTCAAGGCCACAAGAAATACAGAAAGAAGAGCTACTGTGAGAGCTCCAAAGCCTCCACATTCACAAACCTTGCTGGGCAGACGTTTGACTGTTTTGAAGACTTTAAAAGGGCTGTGGACATTATATTAACATTTATTTGTTTTAAAGTTTACAGTTTTTTACAGTTTGCACTAATTTGTTCATTGTTGTTACACTTATTGTTGCACAAATGTATGTAATATTAACAGTTGATTGTTTCAGAGTATAAATCGTTTTAAACTGATTTGTAGATTGTAATTTATTGTTGCAAAAATGCAACCGTTTACAGTTTGCACTAATTTGTTGATTGTTGTTATTTTTTGCAGAAATTAATGTTTTATTAACATTTGATTGTTTAAGTTTACAGTGTTTTACACTAATTTGTTGATTGTTGCAGAAACTAATGTTATATTAACATTTGTTTAAGTTTACAGTGTTTTACACTAATTTGTTGATTTTTGTAACACTGTTTTGTTGCAGAAATGTATGTTATATTGTTTTACAGTTTACAGTATTTCGTTGATTGTTTTCTTGTTTTTTTATTTATGTTTAATAATTATATAATATTAGGTTAAAGTATTTTAATAACTACTTTTTGATTACAAATGTTGCTTTTTATACTTTAATTGTTAGCCTTGTTTTTTTTAAAGGAACTTTTTTTTTTTATATATCTGAATGCTTGACCAGGCAGCAATTTTTTGTTAATATATACAGATATATTCTTATATCTATAACTGCTATCAATAATATTATAACTAATTATAGTGATAGTAATGTGTTTTTATTTATTATGTACAAAGCATATGTATACATTTTTATGTCAGGCAGGTCTAACAATATGTTTAGAACTTTTCTTTTGCACTTTTAATAAATTTGGATAATAAAATACAACCTCGTGTTTGTTTTTGTATTTGTGGGAATGACTTCATTAGTTTTTAAAAATTGCCTAAATCATTTGAATTTAATTTAGAATCATATTATCTAACTATGACAATAATATGCAGTCCATTTTAAAAGTAATCTCTGGTACAGGTGCTCTGAAAAGTCTATTGCTCCTCTGTGTTTTTCCAAGTCCAGCTCTGGAGTCGAAGACAGCTTATCCTGTTGCCGCCAGATGGGATGCCACTGGATTCATCCTTAAACCACACTCCAACATCAAGCTTCACCTGCAACACACAAATACCACTTGGTTAATATGGTGTAAAAAAAAAAAAAAAAAAAGTACATTAATCAAATATCCTATGACATTACACTCTCAAACTAGAAATGTTGTAATTTGTTACAAAGTAGTTAGGTACTATAATTAAAATACCCACCCAGTGACAAAGTAAGGGATTATTGTTAATTTTATGTAATTGTATTACTGCTATTAGAAATATGATGGTATATCTGTATAATATAATAGAACAGAAGCTAAATATAATTTGCATTTTTTTGTTATACAAACATATTTAAGAATAATTCTACTAAACATTATGCATTTATAAAACAAGTTTGACCTTTAATTACTACTATTAATTATATTACATATGAATATTTTATTTATAGAACTGATATTACATATATTAATTTATATATTCCATTTGTTGAGGTTTATGGGGATTTTGA